GGTTGGTGGTGGCAGGGCACTTGGGAGCCCAGGCAGGCGGGTCCCCCACTGAGCGCCTGCCCCTCACAGTCTGAGCTGGCCGGCAGCTGGGCCCTTCCACCCTGGACCTCCCTCTCCCGGTGGGTAACTTCTCTGGAACTCCTGGGGTGCCATGGGGGTGGGGGGATGTCCGTTGGGGGAGAGAGTGGGGTGGGGCAAATGTCCCACTCCCGAGTGGACACCGTGCCTACCGGCCTTTGAAGAAGGCCACGTAGAAGATGGGGGTGTAGGAGTTGACAAACTTGAGCAGGAAGGCCTTAAAGATGAGCCGTTCCTCAAAACTCTTCTCCGTCTTGGGAACCTCTAGAAGGGGGAGGGGTGAGAGGTTGGTCTTGGGGTGGGGTCACCCTCAGCTCCCCTCCCAGCCCTGAGCAGGTGAGCCTGCAGTTGTGAGCCCAGTTTGTAAGGGGCCCTTTCCCACATCCCCTTCTAAACAGACAGACAGTCACACGGGGGTGGGTGGGAGCGGGGGAAGTACAGGCCATAGAGCCAGACATTCCCACCAGCACTGCGGGAAGCTTCTGGCTCAAAGCCAAACCCACTGCCCTCAAGTCCACTCTGGCTCACGGGGACCCTAGAGGACAGGGTGGACCTGCCCCTGTGAGTTTCCCAGGCTGCAACTCTTCACGGGAGCAGACGGCCTCCTCTTTCTCCTGAGGAGCAGCAGGTGGGTTGGAGCTTCTGACTTTGTGGTTAGCAGCCCAATGTATCACCCACTACATCACCAGGGCTCCCCGGAAGCTACTGCCCCCGACTCACCGGCACCAAGTTGATGCCGACTCACAGTGACCCTCTAGGACGGGGTTACCGAGACCGTAACTGTTTACAGGAGTCAAGCCTCACTTTTCTCCCAAAGAGCGACTCGGGGATTCAAACTGCTGACTTGGGGGTTAGCAGCCCAATGTAGCATCCACTCCATCCCCAGGGCTCTTTCAACCCTCTCAAAATCTCAAACTCACTGCCACTGATTGGAGACCAACTCGCGGTTGCCCCCTTGTATGACAGAGTAGAATTACTCCTGTGGGCTTCCAAGGCTGTGACTCATCAGGGGAGTAGAAAGCCTCATCTTTATTCCAAGGTGTGACTAGGAGATTTGAACAGCTGACCTTGAGGTGAGCAGCCCAATAGGTCACCCACTAGGCTACCAGGGCTCCCAGAAGCTGGAAATGTCTCCCCCTACAGCCAGGGCCCAACTGGTGAGAAAATCGATCTCTGCTTTGAAAAGCCCCCCCTTTGTGGTACTTCTGCTAGGTCACCCAATATCCCAGTACAGCACTGGGATGACTGGCCTCAGTTTCTATCTAAACTCCTTAAACTGATGGTCCCCGACAAGACGGAGCACCCAGAGAGCCAGGTAAGCATGGGCCCACTAGTGCCTACTTACTCATGAAATGCTGCAGTGGTGCATGTGTGTGACTGCTCACCACAGATGAGTAAGCAAGCTCTGGTTGGCCGTGCTTGCCTTCACTGCTGGCCCCGTAACTAAAACACCTCCTTTCTTCAACTAGCTCTCACCAATGATTGCTGGCTTCTGAGTCAAGCTGCTGACTGCAAGGCCAGCGGTTCAAACCCACTAGCCACCCCTCAGAGGAAAGATGAGGCTGTAGACTCCTGTAAACATTTACAGAGACACTGGGGTGGGGGGCAGTTCTGCTCTGTCCCAGGGCCAGCTGGGAGACAGCCTTCGTATCCCTCACTTGGGGATGACAAGGTCATGGTCCCACGGCCACAGATCTTCAGCTCTGACTACCAAGGATGGGGCTCTGCACCCTCCCTGGATCCTCTGGTGAGAGGCCTAGGGGTGGGGGGAATGCTGAGTGCTCTAGGTGGGGTGCCCAGGGTGGTGGGCCTCCAGAGTAGACCCCTAGATGCCCTCTGTGGCCCCCCAGCCTGGTCCAGGCACTGGACACTCACCGATCTTGGTGAGCCACCTGGCGATGCAGCCGTAGACCTCGTCCAGCAGGATGATGACCACCAGGTTGATGATGACTGCGGTGGCCGTGACGGTCACTCGGATGTTGGACCGCACGGAGGGTGAGGAGTTCATGGCCAGGGCGGCGGCCATGGAGATGCGGTAGATGACGACGCCGAGGACGATGGCGAAGGTCACGGCGATCTACAGGGACAAGGGGGCATGCCTCACCTGGACTGTGTTCCTGCCCTCACCTCCTACACCTGGGCCAGATCAGAACCATCGTGCTCGAGTGGTTTCCCTGGCCTCCTATGGCACTGCCGGGCAAGCATGAGGCTGCTCACCACAAGGGCAGCGGTTCAAACCCACCACCTGCCCCTCCGGCATAAAGACCTACCCCTGTAAAGGCTGACGGCCCCAGAAACCCCAGGTAGGGTGCTAGAAGTTGGAACTGACCCAGTGGCCATGGTGTGGGACTTTGGAAATCTTTCTGGAAGCCGGGGAGAGAGACGAGGCTTTTGCCTCTTGTAAAGAGCTACAGTTCCGGAAACCCACAGCTCTGAGTCAGACTCTGAGTCAGAACTCACCAGATGGCACGGAGGGGGTTGTTTGGTTTAAATGGCAGCAGGTCGCCAGGCCGTTCTTTGGCTGCACAGCTGGGTTGGCGTTGAGCGTCGACCTCAGATTAATTAAAACCAAACAAAAAACCCAAACCCACTCTCACGGAGTCTATCCCGACTCACAGTGACCCCCTGGGACGGGGAAGAACTACTCCCGTGGGTTTCCAAGACTGTAACTCTTTACCGGAGAAGAAAGCCTCATCTCTTTCTTGTGGGGCAGCTGGAGGTTTTGAACTGTTGGCCTTGTGGTGAGCCACTCAACACGTAACCTGCACCAGAGCAAATGCAAATGCTTTGCAACGTCCAGGGAGGCCTACTGAGGTCAGCTGGGTGTGTGCCGGTGGCTCGGGCCCAGGCGGGCAGTGCCGAGACTTGTGGGTCCGCTAGGCTCCAACCCTATCAGCATGGCCCTCATCTTGCCAAACCCACTGTGGGGCTGAAGCACCCTTAGACTTGGGCTGGGGCTCCCTGGGCATCTGGGTGGGTGCTGGCCGCAGTGATGAGTCTGTTCCACCTAGCAGGGATGTGAACCCCTCTGCCTGGCTCTCTCTCCCTCCTGTTCCTCAAAGGCCCAGACTGGGAGTGTCCAGCCATACCTCTCTGCCCTGCCAGGGCCTGGGAATCAGCTTTCCCAAGTGCTCCAGCCCAGGAGGGAGCCCTAGCCCCCAGTCCGGGCTGTGGGTGGATTCCGAGTCCCGGAAGCTACAGAGTAGACCTGTGTCTCCTGGGGCTTTCTTAGAGTCCCAGTAGAGCAGCAGTTAGCACTCGGCTGTTGGCATCCTCCACCCATCACCCCCCCTCAGGAGAAAGGCCTGTCGCCCTGCTTCCCTGAAGCTCTGTTAGGTACCATGGAGTCGGCCCCGACTCACAGTGACCTGATGGACAACAGGACTGGACACCACCCGGCCCTACACCCTCCTCAGACTTGTTCCTGTCTGAGCCATGGCTGCGAGGAGGCCATCAATACTGCTTTCACCCAAGCTTTGTGGAGAAATCCCGCTGCCTAGAACCGAGGGCATCGCACGCCGACCCCCAGTGAGGGCACACAGGGTTGGCCCCGGCCCTGGTCTTCCGGGCAGTCACCTGTGGCCCCTGGGCTGTTTGGGGGCGGGGGATTCCTAGGAAGCTCTCCCTTTAATGGGCTTCCTGAACTTGGCTTCTGCAGATGTGTGGAGTGACTAACTTGTGGTCACACCCACCACCCACACCACACCCTGTGAAGTCTGCCTGCCGGGAGACTTCTGGCAAATTCTTGGGAAAGCCCGGCTCCTCCCTTCCAGGGAAGGCTCATCCAGGGCCTGGCAAAGAAAGACCCGGGGCACATCCGGAAGAGGCCCCGCCTGCATGGGGGCACTGTAAGAAGCCCTCCACTGGGGCCAGAGCCAGCCACAGCATCCCCAAAGCCCTGTCCCTGCTGGGATGAAGGACCGGGCTCAGGCTGTGGGTTCAGCGTGGTGGTACACAGTAGGTGCCCACTCTGTGCTCATTGTTCTGGGAGCCTCCTGAGTGGGCCAGTAGGGAGTTCTGGATGGCCAGCCCTAGAGTCTGGTTTGTGTGTAACATGAGCTGGCGAGGACTCTCAGGGCAGGGCGAGAGGACCAGTCCATGTCCCGGTGACCACTGGCCCCTCTACTCAGCATATGGGCCATGGTGGTGTAAGTGCTTAAGCACTCAGCAGCTAACGGGAAGGTTCCCCAGCAGACGGGACCCTACCCCGACGCACAACGGAACAAAGCACCACCCACTCCTGCACCGGCCTCACACCTGTTATGTTCGAGCCCAAGGTGGCAGCCGCGTGTCCATTCATCTCGTCAAGGGTCTTCCTCTCTCTCTTGCTGCCCCTCCACTTGACCAAACACGATGTCCTTTTCCAGGGCCCGATCTCTCCTGACCACACGTCCAGGGTACGTGACATGAAGTCTCGCCGTCCCTGCCTCTAAGGAACATTCTGGCTGTACTTCATCCAAGACAGATTTGTCTGTCCTCTCGGCAGTGCACGGGAGTTGGTCTCCTTCCGCAGCACCCTCATTCAAGGGCATGGGTGGTTCTCCTCTGGTCTTGTGTTCGCTGTCTAGCTCTCACAGGCACACGAGGCCACTGAAGCTGCCAGAGCCTGGGCCAGGCGCACCTTGGTCTTCGAAGGGCCAGCTTTGCATTTTAAGAAGGGAAAGCGGTCTTCGGTAGCGCATCTGCCCAGTGCGATGCATCCTTGCATGTCTAGACTGCTGCTCCCATGCCATTGATCATGGAGCAGAGTGGAATGAAATCCGTGACAACGTCAACCTTTCCCCCGCTTACCATGTGTGGGAGTTATAGAATTGTTTGTCAGTTTGAGGATTAAGAGTGTAGGGGTGGAATCTAGCCTGTCCATCAGATCGTAGCCAACGAGGCCTCTGTGGGGGCATGGCCTTCTCCTGAGAATTCTGAGAAATCCTGTATTTCTTCCTTGGAGGTGGGAGACATTTCTCCCTCTGTCTTGAATCCCTTCAAGGCATCCCTGTGGAGAAGCCGACCCTGGACCTCCCTGAAGCAGCCCTGGAAGCTGGAGAAGTCACATGGAGACCTCTGCCAACACTGCTTACAACGCCACTGGAGCCAAAGGCTTTCTACCCACCTACCTGTGGTCATCCTGTATTCGGAGCCATCCCGTGTGTTTGGTGAGTCTGAAGAGGACTTGAGAGATTGGTATCGGACATATGGGCTAATATTGGACTCGGGCTTGGACTGGACTGGGTTGGGATGCTTTCTTAATGAACAATTACCCTTTATATAAAACTCTCTCATAGACACATATGCGTCTCCCTGGACTTGTTTCTCTCGTCTACCCGGACTCACACATCGTGACTGGTCCGATTGTGAGGACTTTGGTCTTCTTTCCACTGGGTTGTAATCCACACTGAAGGCTGCCTTCTTCAGTCCTCATCAGCAAGTGCTTCAAGTCCTCTTCCCTTCCAGCAAACAAAGTCGTGTCTTCTGCGCCTCGCAGTTGTTGATAAGCCTTCCTCTGCTCCCGACGCCACATTCTTCTTCCTATTAAGCCAGTTTCTCTGATGATTTGCCCAGCATCTAGACTGAATAAGTATGGTGAGGGGATGCGACCCTGATGCACACCTTCCCTGATTTTAAACCGTGTATCATTCCCTTGTGTTGTCCAAACAAAAGCCTCGTGGTCTACGCACAGGTTCTGTGAGATGCCCATTAAATACTTAGGTCTGGAATTCCCATTCTCCGCAATGCTACCCATCATTTGTTACGATCCAACGATGGAACGCCTTTGCATAGTCGATACAACACAGACCAGTATCTTTCTGGGCTTCTCTGCTTTCAGCCAAGATCTCTTTGACATCAGCAACGATACCCCCTGTTCCCCATCCTCTTCTGAATCCGGCTTGAATTGCTGGCAGCTTCCTGCTGATATTCTACGCCAACCTTTCTCAAACTATCCTCAGCAGAATTTTACTGGCATGACATTGTCAGATAATTTCCGCATTCTGTTGGGTCACCTTTCTTTGGAAGGGGTACAAATAGGGATCTCTTCTAGTGGGCTGGCCAGGTCGCTGTCTTCCAAATTCCCTGACATAGTCGAGTGAGAGCTTCCAAGGTTGTATGTCTTTGTTGAAATATCGGTATTCCAGCAATTCTCAGAGCCCGTAACCACCAATGCCTCCAGTACAGCTTGGATTTCCTCCTTCCATACCAGTGGCCCTTGCACACATGGTACTTCCTGAAATGGCTGAGCATTGGCCAGTCTTTTCAGCACCGTGACTCTGTGTGTTCCTTCCATCTTCTTTCGATGCCCTCTGTGCTGTTCAATATTCCGCCCGTGGGATCCCTCATTCCTGCAGCTCGAGCCTTGAATGCTTCCTTCAGTGCTTTCACGTGGAGCAATGCTGGGGGCCTTCCTGTTGGCTTCTGACCCGGGTCCTGGTACATCTCCGTGTAATACTTTACAATGTCTTCTTCTCGAGCTGCCTTTTGGAATCTTCTCTTCAGCTCTTTTCACTTGGCGATGTGTAGCCGTGAGACCACAGCCTGGGGAACCCTACGGGCCGTTCTACTTAGTCACAGGGGCTTCTGGGTCAGGGCCCACTCGACGGCACCTGTTGTCGTTAGCTGTTTTTAGGTCAACTTGAGCTTGCAGGAAAGTGTAGGGGTGGAGTCCAGTCTGTCAGTCAGGTCACAGGCTAGCGAGGCCTCTTTTGGGGCTGTGGTCTTTCTTATAAGGAGGGTGGGGGACTGGGATTCTCCCTCTCCCTGTGACTGACACTCTGCTGCCGACCCCGAGGGCTGTTGGCATCCGGCCACTGACCTCGGATCCACGAGACCCTGCACCCATGAGACCCTGCACCTGCGATCTTCCTGCTTCCCAACTGCGTCACCGGCAGGCAGCTGGCAGAGTCTGGAGAGGGACTTGTGGACTAGCCTCAGGCTTATGGACTGAGTTGGCCTGGGCTGGGATGCCTTCTTAATACAGAATTATCTTCTTGATACAGAATTACTTCTTGATATGACGCTCTTTCTTATACAGTGCCCAACTAGGAGAAGTCACCCTGGAGTCGCTTGTCCACTTGTCCAAAGCCAGCACAGGTGACAAGCCCGCGTCACAGACCCCCAGTCACCTGAGTGGCACCAACCTGATTCCTGTCTGGCCTATGTGTCATTTATTTAATGGTTTCCCTTAAAGTGCCTCTGTTTTGCCACTAATAATGCTGCTACTGCTACTGTTAGCTGCGGAGCCAGCTCCCTACCCCATGCACAGCCAAATGCCACCTTACCCAGCCTTGCGCCATCCCCACGTATATCTGACCCTTGGCGGCCATTCATTTTTATGGGCTGACTTTGGGGATTCGATAGCCAGGCCTTTCTTCCTAGTCTGACTTAGACTTAAGGTCCGGGGGACTCTGCATCGTGCTGCAGCCTCCATGGAAAAACGGCCTGAGTTTGGGCCTGAGGTGTCCTGGCCAGGAGTCCAGCCGGGAACCCCTCCACCTCCACGGAAGGTGAACATTTTACCGGTGAGCCACCGTGGTCCTGAGGCCTACATGGCCCTACCTGTGACGTCCTGGCTCCCAGCTGGCC